GAGAGCTCCACTTTCTACCTCCCATTACTAATGGTGGAAACTGTTAATGCATTCCCACTGGATCACTTTTATGGCCAAAGCACTGTCAGTATAAAGGATACTGCTTCATAGAGTTCTGCCAGTGTGGAAGTGAGTTATTGCCGTGCGTTTCTCACCAAATTAGATCTTCTCTTGTTTTTTCCTTTGAGCATCCTGCATCATTTCAGAACAACACACTGCATTGTCTCAGTTAAAAATCACCAATTCCCATGATGATTTTAAGATGAGCACTTCTAATGAATGTTTGACCTTTTCTGAACCACAAACCAAAGAGATTGTGGTCAATTAAGCTGTATATGCATATTTCATGTCTTGGAGATCTGAGGAGAGCTTAGTTGCACATGAGTGAGTATCACAGAGCTCATCACTCTACCAAAGGCTGGGACAGAACTGAGCAGTGGGATCTTAGGGCAACCAATATCAGATGTTGGATGCTCACCTGGGAGTTCCAAGTATTCAGCAGTTTCCCAGTTACTACAGTGCCACTGCCAATTATAGGAGCTGCACTTGATCTGCTTGCAAATGCATGTAGGACACACAGGTGGGTCACCTGTAATTTTGGTCTTGCTCATTGATGTCTTTTGCTTTCCTACAAAAGACATATAGGATCATCCTACTCCAGTAATGATCCGTGGAGTTTATTTTCAAATCTATGAAATAAATACGTTCAATTTGGCCAAGCCCAAGAATAGGATATATGCTCAGTGGACAGAGGGGAATGGAAACTCTACAGCATCCTTCCTGGCAGAAGCTCTTTAAATCCTAACAGCCCTTGCTATGTAAGGTAATCAGGATATGGGGAGGGCTCTGCAGTAGCTCCTTTTAAAAGTAAATGTTGTGAGGATGTAGATAATTTTATTTTAAATTGTCATACACAAGCTCCTGGGACAATTAGTTGACAGCATTTTAACTATATAAACAATGCACCATTCCATTCCAATTTAAAACTTTCACATATTTTTATACTCACATTATATATACCAAATCAGTAGAAGTGTAATCAGAATTCCCCTTATTAAAAAATGAAGTTATCGCTAAGACTACGCTTTATTTAAGATTTTCATTTAGATACCATAAACCCTAATCTTGAAATAAGAAGTGTCAACAAACTACACATCTTTAATTATATTTTAATTTATTTTAATTTAAAAATATTTTTAAAATAATGAAAACTTTGAGACACTGTTTTTCTCATATGGAATTCCTTAAGTATTTCTAGTGATGGAGTGGTTGGCTGTTTTGATATTTCTGCCACTTATACACAGAATTATCAAAACAAGCCTTAAAAATGTTGTTACTTTTCTCAAAAGTAAACAGTATAATCAATTTTTTAAAAAATATTGCCATTTCTATGTAATGCAGTGGATGTTTCTAATATAATGTAACATTAAAGAAGAAACCAAATAAAAAATTTTAAAATAGCCTTCGCTTGTTTCTAAAATATACCCCTTTATCCCAAAAGACTTAGAAGAAAAGTTATATTGAAATTAGATTATAATATTTTCTCAAATAACTTAAAAAAAGGAAAAGCAATTCAAAGTGACTTCATAATACTGTACTTCATTTCTATTCAGTCATATACATTCTTCTTCTTCTTTTTCTAATTCTCTAATTCTTGTGTATTATGTTCTATTGGTGACTTATTTGCTACAATTATAAGCTCCTGTGCAGCACTCTGTCCCTGTTCTTTCTTGTAGAAATGAGTGTTTGAAAAGTTTTATTTAAGGTCATCAGAAAAAAACCAGCGAGATGCCCTATTTGAGTTTGTCATTTTCTAGTTATTTATGCTTTTTGCCTTATTTTATGAGAACAGCATAGCAGAAATATTTTTCAGGTTCAAACAATAGTTTCTAAAAATTCCTCTGGAATAGAGCTGCAGTGGTTCATTTCTTCTGAGTCACTCAACACTTCTAAACACTTATCGGCAAAAACTGACCCTCTTGAATTTTGTTAGTCTCATTTTCAAGTTTCCTAACAACTTCACTGCACTGAAATATAGGTGGTGGTGGTGGGTGGTGGTGGTGGGTTTTTGCAGGTGAAAAAGGGAGCTGGAGTTTATTCTGCTTTGGGTTGGTTGCACTTTTTTCACAAAATATTTGATGGCCTTTCTATGAAGAGATAACTACTGCCTTGTACCAAACAGCACCAAATACTTATCATCAGTGTCTTTTTTTCCCCTTCTCTGAATCAGTATCATACAGTAATTCATAGCATGATTCTTTTGTACATTCCCCTTTTTAAAGCAGAATTGCATTTTAGAGAATTCATACTTTACAAATGTGAATGTTCTGCACCACAAGTGGGGAAGGCAGAGAAAGTGAAGGGGTTTTTGGTGGATCTCAGTAAAAAAGACCCAAAATCTCAGTCAAAAAGACCACATACTAACATAGGTGGTTTAATAAGATTGAATACAAAGATTAATATAGATAGCAAGTAAATCTTGCATCCCATCAGGAACTGGGAAGCACAGTTTCATACAGCCTCAAAGAGACCATGGAAGGATTGTCCCCCAGCACACTCTGCAGATCCCATCTGTGGATCTGTTCCTTCTCCGGTCTGTGCTGTAGTGCCTTACATTTTGTCTAACAAGTAAAGCCATGCATTTTATCCTGTCAGGCTGGACTGTTATCTCTGCCATAACATCCCCAGCATGCAGAACAGACCCATGTGGGCCACTCCAGCAGATTTCCTTACAGCAGCTGCTCATGCTTAAACACAGGACCCGACACAGCAAACATGGCCTGGCTAAGATCTAACTCCCCAAATACAAGGTCTTCTGCAAGACTCCAGATATAATGAAAGACAATGAGTTTTGTACTGTTGATTTCTGACTTTTCCCCCATTTCTATCAAAATAATACTCCATGAGAACACTCAAGCCAACTATTCAAAACCTGTCATGGCCTTCTATTCATAATGCCCTTGTTCGTGAACCTAGGCAAGTAAGCATCATCTAGGAAAGAGAGACATCACCTTTTCCTACACTGCCTTTAGATCAACAGACACATATATAGGATGGTCTTCCCTGTCTGTTGAGAGAAATCAGAAATTCCATTTTTCTGTTTATCACTTTTGCCTGGCATTTTTATTGCGATAGGGTAAAGGATCCAGAAATGTGTTTACTTTTTCTTTTTGCTTTGCAGTGACAAAAAAGGAAATCAAAATAAGTATTCAACTGGACTAAGAAAGAATTCACTTGCTTTCTTAATATCTCAAGCTTCATTAACTTTCTGTCTTTTCAGGAGTCTAAGAATGGATACAGATGCACATAAAAGCAATCAGTCCTGGTTGCAGAATTGCAGACAGACATTGCAGAATTTCAAATGTTATTCTTTTTTTTCAGGTTCAGAATACAGGTTCTCTGCTTAGCACTCAAAAGACTCTTAGGTACCACAATAAATAAATTCATAAGAAATGACATCTCTGTAATTTTGAAAAATGCAAGGCAAATCTTTATGTCAAACAGAGAAAATGTGGATTTGTACAGCAAAATCTGTAGTTCTGCTGAGAGAATAAATAATACAGGAACAGGTTTAAAGTTTGTTCTTATTGGGTGTAAATTTGTGTATTAGCCATTGAAATTCTGCTGCTGAAAAAGATGTCAAAAAGCAAACATAAAATGGAAAAGTAGCATGTGTATTTCTACAATCCACTGCAATGTGAAATAAGGAATGGAATAGCTGTTTGTTTGTTTAGTTCCTTTAGTCTAGTGGTAAAGGTCCTGCAACATATCTTCAGTACTAGAAGAATCAGAAAAAAGGCCAGCATGTGTTGTATGCACGTGTAAAAAAACATACAGAAAATAATTTTAAAAACCCTAGGAATGACACAGCATTGAGTTAAATCATACACCTTCACCTGCAATATCAACAGCATCAAAAGATAATGGGAATTAATGCAGAGTGCCATATAAAGAACTATTAAAAAGATGTGGATTGTATAATTTAAAGAGAGAGAGAAGAAAGTTGTTAGAACTGTAGAAGAGAATGGGTAGTGTAGTCAGTTATTTAGATGTTTCCACATGCACTCTCAAGAGCATAAAGATACATAACAGGTGTGAAAATTAAAGAAAACATATATCCTAATAAGAATCCATTTTATTCTCTCCCCTTCATAGGAACAATTTTTTTCCAGGACAGGAACAGTCCTATGATATTTTATGTGCTCTTTCTGAGCCAATTTTTTGATACTTCATTTCAGTTCTGCCCATCCACACACCTACACATCACTATTAGCTCCATGACTAATGAAAAATTTAGCAATAAAAGGTTGTGATCTGAAACCTCTTTCTATTACATGCAATAGCAACAACACAAGGAACGCCCTCATCCAGCTCTGTAGAGCAGCATTATGAAATTAGAGTTAGCTGCAGACCAGGTATTTCATTGTTCACCTTGCTTCACATACCTCTCAACTGTAATACTCCTTAGGTGGGTATGTCCAGTTTTGTTAAAAAGCCCCAAAAGAAAGCTTATGTGTGTATTTTAAACAGTCTATAAGTGTATACACTTATATTCACACTGTGATAGGACATTAGTTTCCCCCCAGCAGTGTCTGTTGAAGCACTTTTATATTTTGGGACAGTATTATACATGGTCTTGACTCAAAAATAATTGAGCTGCTTCAACCAGACTGACAAGATTCTTTGCTTAGAAACCAGAAATAGAAAATTACAACTCAAGAGCTAATGAGTCACAAAATCATTACGTGAAATCAGGCTTCAAAGCAGAAAACATTTTGCATCCTCAGTATCACTGTTGCCCATGCAGGAATACAAGTTAGTAAAAACAAAATTATAAGGCAGAAAAGCAGGAAAAGCAAGATAGGCTGTTTTGAACCTAGACATCTATAACATCACCAACAAGTATTGCTCGTAGATTTTCTCATTTGGAAAAAGAAAAAATGGAAATGCAACAGATTTTCTCCTTCAAAATTTATTCATGTTTCATTGTGGAGGCTTTCCATGAACAGCTTTAGTTTGTTTCAGCATGAAGGTATCAAGTACAGAGTGAATGTTTAGACAGAAGCAGCAGCACAAACTCAAAATAGAATTTTGGTAGCTAATGTGGGGTGGAAGCTGAAATGCAAGTCTAATGCATCTATTATTATCACCATTCTGTGGGATTTATTCAAAAGTGGCAAACTCATACACATGGGGTACTTTTAATCATAAAATTCAAGGCCAGAATAGTATCTTTCACTCAAAAACACAGTAGGCTGAGTTGCTTCATTCTGCTGTTTCTATATTCTGTCAGTTTGTTTTACCAGTACTCAAACAACGGAATATTTTTCCAGTAGTAAGATAACTCTTTGGTGATCTCTGGCATCATGATAGAAGATTATCAGAAAAGCAAATTTCTGCAAAACAAACAAACAAGAACGTACTAAATTTTCAGTCCCTGCCTGAAAGAAAGAATTTCAAACACGAAAATACAAATCAAAAAGAGTCTCAGTCTTTTCACAGATTATAAGATGTAGTAATGATATAAGGAGTGTTGAAAGGGAACTGACTAAATTACATTCATTTATTCTGAAGCTAAAAGAAAATTAAACAATTGGTATTTCCACTTCAGGCACTTAAAGCTAACATTATATTTTAAAGCCCTCAAGCCCTGCCACATAGATGTAGAGCTGCAAGGTTCAAGCCCTGCCACACAGATGTAGAGCTGCAAGGTTTTATAACTCAATCAAGACCCTTCTGTTCTCTCATTGAAAGAAGAAAGGAAAGTGGAACTCTGTAGGTGATGCAGAGATGAGAAGTTCAAGAAGGCCATCAACAAAGTGCCTACTAGTTCCTAGAATTTCCCTTACACATTTATTTTCAGCTTGCAGAGTGTACTCATAGAAAGACTCTCATTGAACTCAATTACCTGCTCCTCAGCCTGCATGGGAAAGAGAAACACTTTAAGCAGTGCCCACTCAGGGCAGCAAACCTCCCTTTCTTCAGTTGTTCAGGGAATATTTTCAATATAAGGTCTAGATAGGAAGTACAACCATGAGGAACAAAACATAATATTCCTTATTAATGTATTAAAGGGAGAAGCTGCACTGCTCCTAAGTGTTAGATAACCCACTACCTCCCAAAAATGTTTATTCACCCATTTTTCTAGACAAATCTACAATGATACAGGTGCATTTTTTTCAGCTTCCAAATGGTTAGGTGCTGCTATCCCAACCAAAGGTCCTTTTAATGACCTGGAGCCATCAAGTTATTTAATATCAAGGACTTCTGAAGATTGTTTTGGAGTGAAAAGCTCCAAAAGAATGATAATGTTACATAGATTCCTAAAATAATAAAAGTTGCTTTGTTTAGAGATAGTATTTCATTACTTCTGGGTCTGGCAGTTCCTAAGAAAGGAACACCACGGATCATAAATTCCATATAAGTCTATAAAAATATATAAATAAAGGAAATTTAAAATTTTTGCATGAAATTTCTTATTCCACTGCAATAACTTTCATGACTTTATTTCAAATTATAAGAATCTTTAATCATACAGGTTAAAGGGCACAAAGGGTGTCATAGGCCAGGACTGGCCTCACATAGTGAAAATATATCTTTCTTTTGTGATTCAAATATCTGATTTTTTTGCATCACTTTCAAGCACAGCACTTACCACTTTTATTCATTTATTACTAGTAATACTGTGAGTTCAGAAGGGCCCAAATTACTATCAGAAAATATGCTCCATCTTACTTTTGACTACTTCTGACAACCGGACTTAATGATTTTCACTTTATTTCTACATCTGCAAATATGGAGCTCATTAAAAAATTTTATCTCATTGAAAAGTTATCTCCATGTCAACCTATCAGTCTTCCAGACTATTTCATGAGTTCTGTTGCAGAGTTGTCCAGTAAGCACAAAATTGCTGCATTACTTTAGTGAAAACAGAAATTTCTCAGATAAAGGATTTCTTCTCTGGTTTTAGATCTTAGATTGAACTTCAAAAATAATTTTGTTGCCAGATTTCCCCAGTTTGCATTGTCACAAATCAGATCCATTAGTCATCTCTTAGTAACCTCTAACCCCTTTTGCTTTTTATCTTTGTGCTTTTCTATTTAACTGAGTTGTTTTGAATCTCATAACGCAAGGTCTTGGGGGCAACATGTCTACAGCAGTTTCAGATGATGCAGCCAGTACTATATGAGTGATCACACACATTACAAGGGGAGTATCTCTATTCATTAAGAAACCCATGTAAGCCAGGGTTGTTACATTTATATTCAAGAAGCACCAGCACCAAAATGACTACTGCTGAATAGCAAATGATGAAAACACCTTCTTTACCTCAGAACCAGCTCTTCACTGAGATGAGATATTCCCTTCACTTTCACAATTTTAAGGAGTTGAGCTCTATTACAGGCATAGCATATGAAGAGAACACAGTCTATCACAAAAGGCCAACTTTACCTACTCTCAGCATCATACCCACCACCTGTCCTCTCTGGGTCTTTCTCATGAGCTTCTGTGGACCAAGAAAGGTCACCATAGTATCTGGGAAAGCAACACTTATAAATTTAGTACAAATAGCATAGTAGTGCTATGTCTGACTACTACATGGACTACTGTTATGTCTAAGCATGACCAGGATGCACTTCTAGCAGGGGAACAGAAGCCTTTGCTCTCCCATGAACTGAGGATGTAAAGGACAGAGAGAAAGGTTTAAGGAAACAGCATGAACAGAAATTCTGCCATTCTTACCTGTTCAATGCTGATATGAACACAGTTAGATCTTGAAAGCAGTGAACAATAAATAGGCTTGAGAAAATATAAAGAAAAAGCATAAGGGATACTCTGAAAAAAAAAAAAAAAGAAGAGATGAGAAATATATAATGGCTGTTGAGTTAAAGAAAAAATAAAATTATTTAGTTTGGATTTTTTTTCTATAGTGAGGATTTTAAAATCATCAGCTGTATTTTAAAGATATTGTGATTGTGAAGTAGGAACCCATAAAAAGAAAGGAACACAAGCAATATGGGAAATGAAGACCAGAAGAAACTCTAAACAAGTTGTGAGAAACTCCTCTGTCTCTCCTGGAGGACTAGAAGACAAGGCTGCTTTCCTGTTTCTTTTTATTTAGTTTGGCAGCACAAAAGTATGTCCAGCATGACTGGGATGGTCTAGGGTTTTATTATTAGCACCTGTCCACCTGACACATCTACTATTAAAATGTCATTCCAGCCTCTCAAATAGGAAGATTAAGGTGCTCCAAGTGGCAGTATATGTCATTCTTGCCTTTCTGTTGCATTTTTTCCTTCTCCTTTGGCTACCAACCCAGGCTGCCATTTTCCTATTGCAGTCCCCCAACACGAATGCATACCATGATGGCTCACATCACTGCTCATGACAGACCACAACCCCACATTCCTGACCACACAGGTCAGCAAAGACAATTTGCATAAAGAGTTACAGCCTCAAAAGCAGCTAACTTGTACTGGACTACCTCCATCATGTGATTTTTATCTAGTTTTTGCTTTAGAACAACTCATTCACTACATAAGAAAACTTGGCTATCCTGAATTCAAAGGCATTGCATGTCAAAGCAGCACATTTAGTGAACTCTTGCTTGCTATCAAATTCTTCTGCAGTGTACAACTGAAATTTCCACAGGTCTAAGGGTCTCAGTTGAATTGTTTCAGCTACTCATCTTAAGAGCCACCCACTCATGAGTAAAAATGACTACTATAAGAACAACATCCTGACAGAAAATTAATAAAATTCATTACTACCAGCTCAAAACTAGTGGTTTATTTTCAAGAGTAGCTTTTTTTTTCATTTACTACTTTACTCTTCCTCTACTAAATAAATATTAAACATGCTGTTTATCTATAGAACTGTTTCATTCTCTGTTACCCAGAACTTGCAGTTGTCCTTGGATTTGCAACGAAGAGGAGTGTTTTTAAACAGAAATGTTTTTCCATACAATTAAAAAGTTGCATAGAAAGTAATGAAGCAGGCAGGAATCTGAATTTAATTATGTATGACAATCTTTCAGTCATACAGCATTCACCTTTAATTGTGTTTACTATATTATTTCACTGTGTTTGATGCTGATAGTTTCTAAATATTATGTGCCATAACTAGTGTTGCCCATAGCACAGGTCTGCTGCGCAGTATTCAGGTCTCCAAGCACTAATCAGGTCAGCAGATTTGAAGTTGTCCTGTACCACAGATTGACAAAAAACAGACATTGAAAACTAACCTTCTAGTGCTGACCGGATATAACAAAACAGTTGTGTCCTATAAGAAACCATCTCCATCAAACAATGGATTCTGTGTACAAAATGTCTTGCTATGCTAAATTCTTATTGGGATAAAAAAAATGCTACCAAAAAAAACTGAAGGAAGGATTTATTCCAAAGCTTGCTAGTGATACTTGCAAAAACACTTTATGAGTCAGAAAGCAAAGTTTGCTCTATAATGTCTTAATTTGCCAGCCAAGAGGTGCTCTCAAGCTCTGCTAATCAAAAGACTGAAATGGAGCTTTTGGGATCAGGCTGAGCCTATTTCTCAGAAGCTGAGGGAATATAATTGAATTGCCAGACCAACTTTAAAACCTTTCTTCCAAAATGCAGTTAGTTTTGACCCTTTGCCACTCCAGCAGAGTGAAATCTCAGCACAATGCAAGACAAATTAGACATGCAAATGCCTGTTAATACGGCAGACACGTAGGTGTGTCTCTCAGAGTTCAGGAAAATTACCATGGTTTCCGAGGGCCTTATGGACTTCAGAAGCCTATTGCTGAAAATAACATTTACTAGTTATTTAAAGGTTAGATGACAAATCTGTGAGACACTTGGCTGTATGAAGAATATTTTTTCCAAACAGATGTCTTCTAACGCAATGATTTTATTATTGTCTAATATAATTTTTTATTTGCCTTGTTTAGAAATTTAAAAATATCACAGATCCCTTTTCTTACTTGTTCTCTCATGTAATCACATATAAATGTCCTTCAAAACACTCCTAGTGTATGTATTAAATTACACTTCATCCCCTTCATAATTCATGACTACCAGTTGTGATGTCTTCCATAGAGTGCCCTTTGTGTCCTCAGCAGTGCAAAACTGGCCAGATTGGCACTAGCAGTTCTAATAATACAGCCTGCAGGGGAATATATGCAAAACAGATATGCACCTATGCCTATGCTTAACTGGTAGAATCAGAGGCTGGTTGAAGTTGGAGGGGACATGTGGGGGGCATCTGGTCCAGCACCTGCTCAATCAGGGCCACCTCGAGCTGCTTGCCCAGGACCATCTCCAGATGGCTTTTTAGTATCTCCAAGGATGGAGACTACACAACCCCCCGGGCAGCCTGTGCCAGTGCTCAGTCATGCCCATAGTAAAGGACTGTTCCCTGATGCTCAGAGCAAGCCTCCTGTGTTTCAGTTTTCCTCTGATCTTGTCACCAAAAATCAATGAAAAAAATCCTGCTTTCACTTCTTTGCATCCTTCCATCGTGAACAGTTTCCTCTGAACTGCCTTTTCTTCAGGCTGAACAACCTCAGCCCTTGCCTTGTAGAAGAGATGCTCCAGTCCTTTGATTGTAGTGACCCTTCACTGGACTCTCCAGTATGTCCATATCTCTTTCCTGCTGGGAAGCCCACAACTGAACTCCATACTCCAATCTGTGCCCTCACGATTGCTGAGTGGAGGAGAACTCAAACGTATACCATCAAACACATACCATCATTTTCAGAAGGTGTTTTGCTACTTCCCCATCTCAGGACCAACATTTCCAAATTTCTTTTTCAATTACAGTACTAAATATAGTAACAGCAATTAATTTAACAAAGCAGACTGTATATTCAGCTATTCCATGCAACTGTGTGTATGTACACATCTTTATTTCCTACCAGAAAGAGATATTCAGAAGGCCACAGTTATGTTACCTTTAGTATTGTTTCATGCAGAGTCTCAGCTTGCTCTGTGTTACCATAGTTTTAGTTAAATAATTCAATGCTGTACTTTTCAGTGTTTGAACTTTCATTTATGCTATTAGGTTTTCATCTGACAGACAGCTATGGTCCTTGTAAATCTCTTCCTATCTGGAGAAGTAATTTTATTTTCTTACCCAGTGGTCCATGCCAACCATGCATATAATTTCCCTTGCCTCCTCTCTTCTTCCCTAAAGACATTTTTCCTGACACACACCTCTTGGATTTCCTAATTTCAGAGAAGATTCATGCCAGTAACTACTTAAATCATCTGCAGATACATCCATTCTGCAGCACCTGTTTCTATTTAACCATGCCTCTTGAACTTCAAGGAATGGTCTTCAAGAGACCTGCAAGTTTGGGTTTTTTCTGCTGATCAGTAAAATCATGTACTAACTTGAGTTTGAATATCTTTTCTTTTTCATTTCCATTACTCTTCGTAATTCTTGGACACAATTTTTAAAAGATAGCAAGATTAACATGCAAAAAAATGAGTAAAATAATCTTGTGTAAAAGGAAGGCTTAACACTGCCCACAACCAACTTCCAAACCTGTTAACTTTATGCAATTCTCAGGAAGAAAGTGATTGGGAAAAAAAACAACACTGAGGCTTTTTTTCTTTGAGGACCATTGTAAGGCATCTATGTAATTTCATCAATGCCCAGGAAAATGGTCATATATACTTGAATGTAACCATCCTCAAATGATGAGTCAGGGTTTCAAGATCTTCCTGCCATCTGCACATGTCTAAGCTGAGAGGCACCTTCAGAACCCTCAAAAATGGTACTGGCTCTTATCACATTTAGATCAATAAGATAAAATTTCATTGGCAATGTGTCAGTAAATAAAGCAATGCCTAAAACTGGATTTTTATGTATTTCAGAATACAGCTGTTAATATTTTCTTTTTAAATACATACTGCTTCAAATTCTCAGGGATGAACTGATGTTCTTTATTACATTTGTTTTGTAAGTGATAAATGTCTGATGGAACACAAAATTTGGATGCATTCAAGAGAAGACAACCTTACTAGGAATTTATTCAGAGCCTTGCAAGTATACATAGCACTCATCCTCCTATCAGAAAATTCCCCGCTATCAGAATGTTTATATTCATATGTTTGTTATTTTCCTTAGATTCTATTAATAAAATAACTTCAAAAAAGCCACTTACTTTTACTATTATAATACATTCTGCCAGGAAATGATCAGGCAGGATCTAAATGTTAAATAGAGGCAGCATACAGATGTTTTATATTACTACTTCCTTTACTTTTAAAAATTAAAACTTTGGTAATGGAATAGTTCAATGAAGCATTCATTTGAAATACAAAATATTAAAACCACTAGAATAATTAATACAGCTACTTGTTATGAGGAAATAATGGAAATAGGACCTATGAGGAGATGATGTTTTGCTCCGTAATAACAAGAAATGAATTGCCAGTCAGGACTTAGAAGTGCAATGAATACAGAAAAAGGATAGTTACCAAATTTTCAGAACTGACTAAAAATGGAAAAGCAGTAACATTGATCCTAAAAGTAAGTCATATTGAAAGCTAAGGAACAGTTAACAAGCAGTAAAAACGAAATACAGTATTAGTTTTAATAAATTAAATGTGTGATAAAGTATTCTCATATATTTTTCATACATTTCTGTAACTAATAGATGATAGCAACAAATAGTTATTGTAGGAAATGAACTGCTTTGTATATTAAAATAATGTAGGGTGTCGGAGTACAAGCATGAGGTGACAGCAGGGGCATTGAGAGTTTGGGCAGCGGATGATGCTGGTGGCTCCAGGGTTATAAAAACTCTCCAGCAGTCAACTACTGGTTATTGAATGAATATAACCTTG